ATTCAAGAAATTTGTTCAGAGGTGTGAATTTAACATACAATGCCATTGTATTCAATGCAATTAAACATAATTATATTTGTTTGCATTTATTACAATTGCTGCAATACATTTTTATGCAAGAGATGCACATTAATTGCAGCACAATCTGCTAGTTTCTACCTCTTGCACTCTCATAAAGGCTTACCTGGAGGGAAAAGAAACAAATAAAATGAAGAAGTCAATGAGTTGAATCGAGGATCCTCCAAAAAGCAGGACTCAATGCTTCCCAATGGAGAAAAACTTACATGGAACACACCTAACTCCTTTAAAGGTCCCTCTTGGCCCCGCCTTTTTATGCTAGTGAACTACACTTCCCGAAGGCCAATGAGAGAAGAGAGGGTTGCCTGCGTCCACTCCGATTGGTCGAATTTGAAAACAGTTGTGTCCAATGGAGGTTCTCCTTTCTTTCCCTAATCTGGGCATTTAATTCTGTGGCATGCTTGGACTTGTTGCAAGAAAGGGTGTGTCAATATCAGGCTTGGGCACTCTTGGGCCCTCCAGGTGTTTTGGACTTCAACTCCCACAATTCCTAACAGCCTACCGGCTGTTAGGAATTGTGGGAGTTGAAGTCCAAAACACCCGGAGGGCCCAAGTGTGCCCATGCCTGGTCTACATTGTAGAATTAATACAGTTTAACCCCACTTTAACTGCTATGGCTCAATGCTATGGAATCTTGGGATTTGTAGTTTTACTAGGGCTTTAGACTTGGTGAGTGCTGGAGCCTCACCAAGCTACAACTCCCAGGATCCCATAGCATTGAGTCCTACTAGCTAGACTGAGGTCAAACCGGGCTGTAGGGCAGCTAGTTAGTACCCAGTTGCATTAAATCACTACTGACTGAGAGGTCATGAATTTCAACCCAATCCAGGTCGGAGTAAGCTCCCGACCATTAATAGTCTAGCTTGCTGTTGACCTATACAGCCCGAAAGACAGTTGCATCTGTCAAGTAGGAAATTTACCGCTTTATGCGAGGTTAATTTAACTAATTTACGGCACCATAAAACCTTCCAGCAGCATGTGTAAGAATGAGGGATTACTCCATCAAGGACTCGGTGTCACAAGTGGAAGGGAATGTGGCCGGAATCGAGTTGACCCTCATGAAGCAGGAAAAGCTGGAATGTTAAATTGCCTCTGTGTCTGTCTATATATGTTGTGTGTCTATGGCATTGAATGTTTGCCATGTACATGTACATTGTAATCTGCCTTGAGTCCCCTGCAGGATGAAAGGGCAGAATATAAATACTGTAAATAAATAAATAAATAAATAGGTTAACATCAAAACTTTGAATCGAGCTCAGAAACTAAGAAGCAGCCTTGGAGCTGGGGTAGCAAGGGAGTTGTCCGCGCCCTGTACACACTCTTGTGAGCAACCTGCCTGCCGAGCGTTGGACTAGCTGAAGCTTCTAAGCAGTTTTCAGAGGCAACTCCATGTAGAATGTGTTGCAGTAGTCTATTCAGGATGTAATCAGAGCATGGACCACCATGGCCAAGTTAGACCTCCCAAGATACGGGTGCAGCTGGCGCACAAGTTTTAACTGTGCAAAAGCTACCAAATTGGGAGGGATAGCCAATACTCCAGAGGACAGGAGCAGGATT